CAGGCGAAGCTCCAACTCCATATGTGAAGCGAGGTGCAGGCTTCTCATCTGGTGTCCTGACACCCAGGCGAAGCTCCACCTTCATTCTGAAAACCAGCTGCAGGCTTCTCATCTGGTGTCCTGCTACCTTGGTGAAGCTCCCACTCCAGATGTGACGCCAGTTGCAGGGTTCTCATCTGGTGTCCTGACACCCTGGCGAAGCTCCCACTCCAGATGTGACACCAGTTGCAGGGTTCTCATCTGGTGTCCTGCTACCCTGGTGAAGCTCCACCTTCAATTGAAAGTGAGGTGCAGGCTTCTCATCTGGGGTCCTGACACCCTGGGAATCTCCACCTCCAGATGTGAAGCCAGGTTCAGGCTTCTATCTGGTGGCCTGATGCCCAAGAGAAGCTCCACCTTAAGACTGAAAGTGAGGTGCAGGATTCTCATCTGGTGTCCTGACACCCAGGTGAAGCTCCACCTTCAGATGTGAAATGAGGGGCAGGCTTCTCATCTGGTGTCCTGACAACTAGGCGAAGCTCCAATTTCAGACTGAAAGCCAGGTGCAGGCTTCTCATCTGGTGTCCTGAATCCAGGTGAAGCTCCACCTTCAGACTGAAAGCCAGGTGCAGGCTTCTCATCTGGTGTCCTGACACCAGGTGAGCTCCACCTTCAGACTGAAAGCCAGGTACAGGCTTCTCATCTGGTGTCCTGACACCCAGGCGAACCTCCACATACAGATGTGAATCTAGTGGCAGACTTCTCATCTGGTGTTCTGACACCCAGGTGAAGCTTCACCTTCAGACTGAAAGCCAGGTGCAGGCTTCTCATCTGGTGTCCTGACACCCAGGCGAGGCTCCACCTTTTGACGTCATGTGAGGTGCAGGCTTCTAATCTGGTTCCTGACACCCAGGCGAACATCCACATACAGATGTGAAGCTAGGGGCCGATTTCACATCTGGTGTTCTGACACCCAGGCAAAGCTCCGCATTCAGATGGAAAGCCTCGTGCAGGCTTATCATCTGGTGTCCAACACCCAGGTGAAACCCCACCTTCAGATGTGAAACTAGGTGCAGGCTTCTCATCTGGTGTCGTGGTACCCAGGTGAAGCTCCACCTCAGAGTGAAGCCAGGTGCAGGCTTCTCATCTAGTGTCCTGACACACAGGCGAAGCTCCCCCTTCAGACTGAAAGCGATGTTTAGGCTTCTCATCTGGTGACCTGACACGCCGGCGAAGCTCCCCCTTCAGACTGAAAGCCAGGTGCAGTCTTCTCTTCTGGTGTCTGACACCCAGGCGAAGCTCCACCTTCAGATGTGAAACGAGGGGAAGGCTTCTCATCTTGTGTTCTGACACCCAGCAGAGCTCCACATTCAGACTGAAAGCCAGGTGTAGGCTTCTCATCTGGTGTCCTGACACTAATGTGAGCTCCACACTCAGACTGAAAGCCAGGTGCAGTCTTCTCTTCTGGTGTCTGACACCCAGGCGATCCTCCACCTTCAGATGTGAAGCGAGGGGCAGGCTTCTCATCTGCTGTCCTGTCACCCACGCAAAGCTCCATTGCACACGTGATGTGAGGTTCAGGCGTCTCATCTAGTGTCCTGACACCCTGGCAAATCTCCACATCCTGATGTGAAATCAGGTGCAGGCTTCTCATCTGGTGTCCTGACTCCCAAGAGAAGCTCGAACCTTCAGACTGAAAGCGTTGTTCAGGCTTCTCATCTGGTGTTCTGATACACAGTTGAAGCTCCACCTTCAGACTGAAATTGATGTGCAGGCTTCTCATCTGGTGTTCTGACACCCAGCAGAGCTCCACCTTCAGACTGAAACCAGGTGCAGGCTTCTCATCTGGTGTGCTGAAACCCAGGTGAAGCTCTACCTTCACACTGAACACCATGTGCAGGCTTCCCATATGGAGTCCTGACAATCAGACAAAGCTTCACCTTCAGACTGAAAGCCTGGTGCAGGCTTCTCATCTGGTGTCCTGACACGCAGGCGAAGCTCCGTCTTCAGACAGAAAGCCAGGTGCAGGCTTCTCATCTGGTGTCCTGACACCAAGGCGATGCTAGACCTTCAGATTGAAAGCCTGCTGCAGGCTTCTCATCTGGTGTCCTGACACCCAGGCGAAGCTCCACCTTCAATGTGAAGCGAGGGGCAGGCTTCTCATCTGGTGTCCTTATACCCAGACGAAACTCGACCTTCAGACTGAAAGCCATGTGTAGGCTTCTCATCTGGTGTCCTGACACCCAGGCAAAGCTCCACCTTGAGACTGAAAGTGAGGGTCAGGTTTTTCATCTGGTGTCCTGACACCCAGGTGAACAACACTTTCAGACTGAGAACCTGGTGTAGGCTTCTCATCTGGTGTCCTGACACCCAGGCTAACCTACACCTTCAGACTGAAAGCCAGGTGCAGGCTTCTCATCTGGCGTCCTGACTCCCAGGCGAAGCTCCACTTTCAGACTGAAAGACAGGTGCAGGCTTCTCATCTGGTGTCCTGACACCCAGGCGAGGCTCCACCTTTTGACGTCATGTGAGGTGCAGGCTTCTCATCTGGTGTCCTGACACCCAGGCGAACCTCCACATACAGATGTGAAGCTAGGGGCAGGCTTTTCATCTGGTCTCCTGACACCCTGGCAAAGCTCCAACTCCAGATGTGAAGCCAGGTGCAGGGTTCTCATCTGGTGTTCTGACACCTAGGCGAAGCTCCACCTTCAGATGTGAACGGGTGGCAGGCTTCCCATCAGGTGTCCTGACACCCAGGTGAGTTCCACCTTCAGACTGAAAGCGAGGGGCAGGCTTCTCATCTGGTGTGCTGACACCCAGTCAAGCTCCACCTTCAGTCTTAAAGCCCGGTGCAGTCTTGTAATTTGGTGTCCTGATGCAGAAGAGGAGTTCCACCTTCAGACTGAAAGCCAGGTGCAGGCTTCTCATCTGGTGTCCTGCCAGCCTTTTGAAGCTCCACCTTCAAATGAAAGTGAGGTGCAGGCTTCTCATCTGGTGTCCTGACATCCAGGCGAATCTACACCTTCAGACTGAAAGCCAGGTGCAGGCTTCTTATCTGGTGTCCTGACACCCAGGTGAAGCTCCAGCTCCAGACGTGAAGCCAGGAGAAGCTCCACCCGCAGACGTGATGCGAGGTGCAGGCTTCTCATCTGGTGTCCTGACACCCTGGGATTGCTCCACATCCAGATGTGCAGCCAGGTTCAGGCTTCTAATGTGGTGGCACCAGGAGGAAGCGCCTGGCTCCTGGCTTTGGATTGGTGCAGCGTGCCAGCTGTAGGGGCCATCTGGGGAGTGAACCAATGGAAGGAAAACCTTTCTCTCTGTCTCTCTCTCTCACTGTCTAATTCTGCCTGTGAAATAAAAAAAAATATTAAAAAAACAACAAAAACTAGATTAGTTAATATTTAGTATGGACTTTTTAGGAAAACACTGAAATACTGAGTTGGTGTAATATCTGGTATTCAGTAGTTATTTTAAAATGAATAAATATAGATTATTTCTTCAAATAAGAAGATGAATATGGAATTCATTTGAATATTTTCAACAAAAATGTGTAACAGTGTGATTCTATAGGAGTCAGTAAA